ACACAGGCTTGCGCCGAACAGGCAGACCAAAGTGGCTACTTGGATGATTTCACTTGTTTGTTCAAAAACAGCGAGAGGCAGGTATTCTCATCAGCTCTCTCTGTCTTCCCACCAAGCACTTGCTGAGGACACCACAGCTGGCGCTCCAACCCAGAAGCGGTGACAGCAAGTCTCTCAGATGAGTCACAAAGGATGCCTGATCAAACCGAGCTCCAAGGCTGCCCCTCCTCCTCGCTCTGCAGCTGGCATTAACTCCGGAGCCAGAAGGAGCCACAATCACAGACTAACACATTAAACTGTTTTCCCATTTTAAAAGAAAATCCTTAACAAGTGTCAAACTTAAAAGTCCACTATGTTATTGGAGGACCCCCAAATGAAATTTTTTCCATTATATATATAAAAAAAAAATCCTTATAAAATAATCAGCCAGGTAAATAAGGGAAAAGTAGAGAACAAACAGGCATAAGACCTGCCACTGAAAAACAGCACCCCATCAACATTTTGACTATCTTTCAGTTTTGATTATCTTTTCAGTTCCTTTAAACATCCCCCCTGAGATGTTTTGTGTTGTTGGAATCATAAGGTATATGACTGTGTCGCTTAAATGACTTCACAAGCATTTCCCCATGTTTTCCTTCTTAACTTCATATAACCGCATAGAGTGGGTGAGAGAAGATGTTTAAAGTAAACCCAGTTGAGAAATAAATACTTACCATCCTCATTCTTCCACAAAAACTACTGTAGTAAAAACCAAGAATCTCCAAAAGTTTCTGGGGTCATTGGAGATAAGATACATGAAAAAACGCTTGGATGCACTGGAAGTGTTTAAGAAATGTTAACTGACTTTCAAGTGACAAAGACAATACTTACTATAGCCATCCCTGGAAAGATACAAAAGAAATTCAATTCAGCCTCTGCTCCCAATGAATTTTTAATAACATTGAGAAGATAAAATGCATTTACACCCAATAACAAAAGCGCAACGTAATTCAGTGGGCAGACATTCTGGCTTGAGGAGCCTTATTCCTGTCTGCACCCCTAACACAAAGGACGTATTACAGATACACAGTCAATGTCTGTTGTACTAGTACAGACTACAAGCTATGCTGTTTAGAAATAGGAAGGATCACTGTGAGCTGAGTGAAGCTGGGCAAAGCAGACAACACGCACATGGCAGAACTTGATGTGGGCAATATTCTGCAGAAAGCAAGCTGACCCACAGAAGCCTTGGGATACTCTGAAAATAAAAGATGGTATAAGAAAAAAAAAAAAAAAGGACTTCCTCGTAGCTCAGTCAGTAAAGAATCTGCCTGCAATGCAGGAGACCCAGATTTAATTCCTGGGTTGGGAAGATCCCCTAAAGAAGGAAATGGCAATCCACTTCAGTATTCTTGCCTGGAGAATCCCATGGACAGTGGAGCCTGGCAGGCTATAGTCCATGAGGTCATAAGAGTTGGATGTGATTTAGCAACTAAACCACTACCAATCTATTAACAAGTTTGATGTTTCTATGTAACGAGCTTTGAAATCTCAGCTGTAAATATTAACTACTCATAGGAATATAATACATAAGACATAATTGTTGTTCCTAAAGTGTGTCCAACCCTTTTGCAACCCCGTGGATTGTAGCCCGCTGGAGTCCTCTGTCTATGGGATTGCCAAGGCAAGAATACTGGAGTGGGCTGTCATTTCCTTCTCCAGGGGATCTTTCAGACTCAGGGATTCTTTACCCCCGAGCCACCAGGGAAGCCCTGCAACACATAGTAGATACTCCTTGAAGACAAACACACCAACACAAAGTTCGACAGTATTCCTAGACATCAGAAACAAAGGTTAATCTCAGAAGGCTTTCTCTGTGTCAGAACACGTTGGAAAGATGCAGTAAATTAAGGCTTTAGAAATCCATATAGAGAACCACAGTGGATACTGTCCTTGCTAAACTGGGTGTAAAAGAATGTGCTTACCAAAACTTTCTTTCAGGAATGCTTTAGAATCCACTGAAGCTATTTGTATATACTGTGGGCATCCAGAAAGTAGATACATGAGATGTGAAATCTGCGCTCGGCCCTCACAGCATCACATTCACCACCTGATCACAAACACATCTTGAGAAGTGTCCAACTTCACGACGAGGGTATCAAGCAGACTCCATACCTCCTGACTTCATCCACACACAAACTTCTTTGTTTTACCACACTTGTGCTTATGAAAAAATGCAAAGAATTTGTGGGGAAGGAATTTGCTAATATTACATCTCTAACAGCTGCTGGCTGGACTATACTAAATCCACAGCCTCTACAGTTGCATTATATGGCCATCTCAAAAAGTGGGTGTTAAGACACATCAGGTCTCTTTCAAAAGAAATGATTTCAGCCTACCCTGTGAGGCTGCTTAAGAGAAAGTTTCCCAGAGTTGGGGTGTCATGTGTGATCTCTGTCTAGATATAACGCTGCAATTACTTATGATTAAGTATCTCTAATAGCTTCCCACTCAGTTTCCCCAGACTGAAGCACTCAGAACAAATGCCTTCAACAGCCCCTCTGGGAATGAACAGCTGGTCTGAAGCAGTGCATGCTTCAGGGCAGGTGGTCCTTATTTTTCTGAACACACATGTGCACACACATGTCTGATAACAATCATACCAGATATAATTAATTCAAGAAACTGAAAACAACATGAAAGAAGAGGTCATTTTAAAATGTTTCAGAAGTCCAAACAAATGCAAATGGAAAATTTAGAACTTTTTTCAAAAATTTCCTGAAATTATGTTTTTTAGATTTTGCTAAACCTTAACAAATTGTCTTACCCCAGGAATACAAACTGTAATTCTCTTACCTCTAATGAAGCATCTCTCTAGGACATTTGACAATTTGGAAACCCAATGGCAATTACCACATAATCATTCAAAAAAGACGTGTGGCATAACATTTGCAAAGGGGAATTGCACTTGTCACCAATTCAACAAAAGAATACTTTATCTACAAACCACACAGCATTGAACATTTAATAATTTGGTTAAAATGATCCATAGCAAGAATTCCACTGTCAAATGGAACAATTTAAGCAACAACAACAAAAAAGGATTAACACAAATGGTTGACAATTTCCAAACTGGCACGCGAGGGATGTCACCCTGAGCAAGTTACTAAATCTCTCTGTACTCAAAATGATACTAACAACCTCTTAGAGTTGTTATCAATGCTAAATGAATACATATTAAATTTTTATAACAGAGCCTGGCAAAGGGTAACTAATAAAGAATGTATTATATCAGGAACCAGATTTTTTTTTAATGAAAGCACTCAAAAATAATAGCAATTAAGAAGCGTAATCATAAAAATAAAAGAGATGCAGCTGTGATGCCCTGTGAACGAATAGTTTTCAAGGTATTACTGTATATTTACAGCATAAACAAAATAATAGAAAAGAGCTACATCCCTTCAGAGCCTATTAATACATCCTACTATGCAAAATCTGATTAGTCCTCCTATGCTCCACAGGTAAATTCCAATCTTTAACATCAAGAAAATCACAGAAGTAGCGTTTCCAGGAAACCAAAATAAGAAGTTAGTAAAAATAAGTTTACTGGGATTTCCCTGGTAGTCCAGTGGTTAAGAGTCCTCACTCCCAATGCAGAGGGTACAGGTTCCATCACTGGTATGGGGACTAAGATTCCCCCATGAGGCATGGCTCGGCCAGAAAAAAAACTTTTTTTGTTTAATTAAAATTAAAAGAAAAAACGAAGCTGATGTGAAGGCCTTATCATCCATTAGTTTTACTAACAAACCACCGACTTGAAACTCATTCCTGAACTAAACTGCCAAATGTTTCTGCGGTAAAAACTGCAAACTTTCGTGTGAACAGATCTTTTCAACAATGGGGAGTTGTTCCAGTCTGTGAATAGGACAGTGTCCGTGCGACCAACAAAGCCGGGAGGGGACATTCCTGACACCCTTGTCCCCTGGCTAGCCTTTGATCATTCATCTCTCCCAACTATGGAAACCACTTTCAGGCGCAGTATAGGGACACGTATTCCCTGAACTTAGCCCTCACACCGAGTCCTGCTCCCCGGCTTCTGCGGGGACCCTCACTGTTCTCGCCACCCCTGAAGACCACTCCCCTCACTGAATCTTCAACACAGAAGCCTTTGTTTCCCTAGTGCGCCCACCCCACCCCCGAACAGTCTCTTGGGGCCTCGCTGTGTACACTCTGAAAACACCATGGGATGACGATGGCAAGGAAGCAGACGACAAAGTGACCCGGAGAACTGGGAAGTCCTGCGGATGCCCCAGGCGAGCCGGCGCGGCGCCCGGGACCGGGTCTGAGCGTCTCCTGCTCCTCAGAGTGCTTTCTGGACACGGCGTTGAGGACTACGTGGGACCGCGCTCTCGGGCGCCCAGCGCACGCCCACGGCCCCCAGCGTGTGGTCCGGCCGTTCCGTTGCCCAGGGCCTCCAGCCGGGGCGCGGGGTGGGCGGACAGACCAACGCCCGGCCCCGGCGGCCCCCGCGCCACTCCTGGGCGGGCTGCAGGGCTCGGGGCCGGCGGGACAAAGGGGGCCGGGGACAGTCGGCTTTGTTCGCAGAGGGACCGAGCGCGGGTCCACAGGACCCGGGCCTAACCCCACACCCAAACCCCCAGGTCAGATCCCCTGGACTCCCAACTCCGGGGCCCCCGGCCCCTGGGACTCCCCTATACTCCCGACCTCCACACCTCCCGACCTCTTCCCCGACCCGCAGCGCCTACCCCGACCCCAGACCCGCACCCCCAGCCCGGGACCCGCACCCCTGGGACCCCGCATCTCCAGGACCGCTCCTCGCTCAGCCCGAACGCCGGGACCCCCACATCCCTGACCCCGGAGCCGAGCCGGACCCCCTCAGCCCCGAGACTCCTCCTCCCTGACGCCCCCCGCAGCCCTGAGCTCCGGGCCCCCGCGCCACCAGACCCGCTCCCCGCGCCTGGTTCCCTCGGGCCGCGTCTGGCGGAGGCCTGCGGACTCACCCCGCACGACCAGCAGCAGCAGGACCAACGAGGGCCTTCGCCTCAGCGCCATGTCGAGCGCAGCTGAGGGGCCGCGGGCCCGCTCCCCGCGCACGCGCCCTGCCCGCGGTCCTGCGCCCGCCCCGGTCACCATAGCGACCACGGCGGCGAGCCGTCGCCATGGTGCATGGGAAGCCCAAGTCTGGTTGCTATGGAGGCAGGGATGCTCTGGACCCGGCCCCTGGGGTCTCTTTCAAAGAATTTGGTACGAGGAGGTGAAAGAGCGCGTTCAGGAATGGGCGGGTTAATTCCTACATTTATAAAATGAATCCGTCACTACAGATCCGGAAAGGAATGCTCCGTTAAAATTTGAGAAATGAAGTTCTTATTTCACAAATAAGATTGGAGCCCAGTTGTCTTGGAAGCATTTTTGCCTGTGCCTTTTTTGGAAAGAAAAGTTAAAGCGTTAATCGCTCAGTCGTGTCCACTCTTTGTGACCTTTCCTCCTCTGTCCACGGACTTCTCCAGGCAAAAATGCTGGAGTGAGTGGCCATTCCCCTCTCCAGGGGATCTTCCTGACACAGGGATCGAAGCCAGGTCTCCTTCATGCAAGCAGATTCTTTGCCATCTGAGTCCCTTGGGGACTGATTCTAAATGTGATGAGAGGGGAAAGTGCTGAAATCTATATAAAACACAAGGAATACATGCATTATATAGTACATAAAAGTGATACATTTCAAAAATAAAAGTTTGTTAGATCAAAAGCATGGTAGTATATTTATTGATATGTTAGTTCAATAAGCATGACAATTTATCGCACAGAAAAGCAAGATAATTATTTGCTCTTATTTCTGAATATTGAGAAATGGATAAGGTTAGGGAGGAAAAAAGAAGAATTTTATAAGGACAAGCACACAAGATGAACAAAAGGATTACATGTACTGGAAATTGGACCCAAGGATGCAGGAGATGTCTAGTGTCATTAAATACTGTGGAAAATGATTGTAATAACTTATTTTACATCCAACATAGTATATTTCTAATGCTCCAGGAAACAACAAGCTCAAAACAAAATTCTTAGTATGGTTATTAGCAAAATAATGCAGTTTCCAACAACTAATACTTTTTTAATGTTTAACTTAGGAATGTCACTTTTCACACAGTCATCCTAATTTTTAAAACATTAATATTTTAGTATTTTAGTTTTTACAAAGTAGAACAATGTGTCTATAAGTATGCATATACATATATAATTTACATATATACTTAATTATAGATGTCAAGAAACATGAAATAGATTGAAGTTGTTGTCAAGGATATTCTTCAACTGCCATCACTAGGCGATTTTCTTTAAAGTCTTTGTTCACACTTTTGTTAAGTGTGAATTAATTATATTCCTTCAAATCCCATAAAGACAGAATAAAAATTTAAAAATAACTCAATCACCTGTTGTGATTCTATTGTCTTTCCTTTCCTAAATCTTTTCTGCTCCAGATCACCATGTTCTAAAATCACAAGTAAAAATATGTAGAAACTTTTATAGTGGCAGCCTCTGTCCCATAAATAAACTCAACAGAGAAATTTAAAAGAGTAAAATTCTACTTAAGCCCACTGACTTTTTTTCCTTCTGCTCTCTGTTCTGCCATTCCCTTTAATCATAATTATACACTCAAGCATATTTGCCATTTTGGTGACCTAGGAACTATGACAAAGTATCTAATTGTGAAAACAACAGTTTTCAGAATCAATGCCTCTTCTCTACTGCTGAATTTCCTGTGTTTGCACTGTGAAATTGTTCTGTCCATTAAACAGTCTTAGGGAATCTTTTGAAACTCAGAACAAGATCACAGAGAAAGGCTCAATGAATATTCTACATGGAGCAGAGATTCCTATGAGAGTGAATGCAGGTCCTCATTGTAAAACATTGATTTTCCTCTACAGATGGAGTCTGCATGTCGGGACCAGTGGCTGAGACAGAATCCTGAAATGGAGACTAACTAGTGACATGGTAGGATGCACTTGGCTGTCAAATGATCTCCTCTGATGATTTCACTGTTCTTGGGAGAGTTCTGACCCTGTGCAGAAGGGTGTCAGAGCTCTGGAAGGATTTACTGAACAGGGCTGTGGAGTCTATGCTTCTATCACCATATTATCCAACTGACTATGCTTCTTTCTAATGGTGGCTTACTAAGGAGACACACAGGTCTTAAAAGAGCTCAGGGAGGGGCTTCTCTGGTGGTCCAGTGGTTAAGAATCTACCTGACAATCTACCTGGACACAGGTTTGATCACTGGTCCAGGAAGATCCCACATGCCACAAGACAACTAGACCCATGCACCACAACTACTATATCTGTGCACCCTAGAGCCTGTGCTCTGCAACGAGCAGTCACTGCAATGAGAAGCCTGTGCAATGCAACTAGAGAAAGCCTTCTTATAGCAGCAAAGGCCTGCTGCTGCTGCTAAGTCGCTTCAGCTGTGTCCGACTCTGTGCGACCCCATAGATGGCGGCTCACCAGGCTCCTCTGTCCCTGGGATTCTCCAGGCAAGAATACTGGAGTGGGTTGCCATTTCCTTCTCCAAACAAAGGCCTAAAGCAGCCAAAAATAAAAACAAATAAATAATTTTTTTTAAAAAAGAGCTCAGGGAATGAAATATATTTGTGCTAAATCTGAACAACAGCCTTTGCAATATTTTTCAAACCAACACAAAGTGCAAATCAAGTAGTAAATGGGGAATCGAATTTTCCTTCAAGACTTGAAATCAAGCAGGATGCTTTGGGGTTTCCTCAGGTACAGAAGCCTTTCCATGTCCCCCGTTTCTTGTCAGCAGTGTTGACTGGGAAAAAAAAAAAAAAAAGCACAACCTTAAAGTTCAGAGTTAGGTTTCATTTGGTGGACTTGCTCAGGACTTAAGCCCAGGAGGCAGCCTCTGATGGCTCTGAGGGACCTTTCCAAAGAGGGCAGGGAGGAGCCAGGGCAGATATTTCTGGCAGGCCATTTCTGCAACAAAGACCAGATAGTCAGACCATCAGGAGATTACTGTTAATTAAAGAAAAGCCAAATACCTCAAGTTAATGAATTTTGGGCTTTTCTATATATGGGAAGAGTCCTGACTTACTGAAATTATTCCTTTGATATGTCTCTTAACTATCTGGGGCCAGTATCCTGTTTTTCTCCCTCCTGAATCTTCTCAGAGTGGGGGAGGCTGCATGGGCCAAAGGCTTGATGGCTGAAACATCCTTTGTTTACTGATATGGCAGGGAAATTCTTCATCCAAAGCAGGAAAAAGGCTTCAGCCTTCTAGACCTTCCCTGAATTCCAAAGGGCAGGTTCAAACAGTTCCTAACTAGGGAAGAGAGAGGATGCAGAAACAAAGGAAGAGGAGTCAAGAAACAATAATACCTCGATAAAACAGGGTCCTGGTTCCTCCTTGCGGGTAGTGCACAACACACCTTTGAGTCCTTCAGCAAGAACCAGGGCTCCTGCCCAGGTAGAGGATGGTAATTTCAGGCTGAGCACAAGGTCCCTGTTAGCTCCCCACCAACCAAATAGAAGGAAGTCATACACACTGCAGCGCTCACCCCGAACTTTGCCTTTAAAAACTCTTCCTGCAAAATGATCGGGGAGCATAGGATTTTTTAGATTATGAACCCCCTGTCTCCTTGTGTGTCCCACCAATAAACCTTTCTCTGTTCCAAATTTCAATGTTTCAGTTGATTTGGTCTCACTGTGAGTCAAGCATGTAAACTTATGTTAAAAAAAACAGATCCACCTTCAAACAGACTGGAGAGATGCTGGAGGCAGCATGTCCAAGGGAAGAACATGGGCTGTGGCATCTGATGAACAATGATGCAAAACCTTGGATTTTGTAAACTTGGGAAAGTTGCTTCTGTAAGCCATGGATTCCTTGTCTATAAAATAGGGATAACAACATCCACCTCAAGTGGTCACTTTGAAGATCATGTGAGAAAAGATTTTGAGGATACTAGGTGCTCTTGCATAGAGAGATAAGAGAGTTGGACTATAAAGAAGGCTGAGCACCAAAGAATTGATGCTTTCGAATTGTGGTGCTGGAGAAGACTCTTGAGAATCCCTTGGACTTCAGGGAAATCAGACCAGTCAATCCTAAAGAAAATCAACCCTGAATATTCATTGGAAGGACTGATGCCGAAGCTCCAATTCTTTGGCCACCTGATGCAAAGAAATGATTCGTTAGAAAAGACCATGAAGCCTGGAAAGATTGAAGGCAGGAGGAGAAGGGGATGACAGAGGATGAGATGGTTGGATGGCAGCACCAACTTGATGGACATGAGTTTGAGCAAACTCCAGGAGTTGGTGATGGACAGGGAAGCCTGACATGCTACAGTCTGTGGGGTCGCAGAGTCGGACACGACAGACTGACTGACTGAACTGAATCAGATGTCAACATCATCCACCTAGATCCAAGCTGTCAGGGATCTGAGTGCGTGTGGGCAGCACAGAGATAACTTTTCCCACCTGGCTGGGGTTCCAGTGCCTGTAAAACAGCTTCCCCTTGAGAAGGAAATGGGACCTGACCTAAGGCTGCACTATTGTCCCTTCACTTCTCCTCCCTCCTCTGCATCTCTTCCCTTCTCTGTTAGCAACTGTTTGAACCTGCCCATTAGAAATGAGGGAAGGTTCCCGGAAGTTGACTGAAGCTATTTTCCACAAACAAGAGAACGGAGGACACAGAAAGGCTTTTGTGCCCCAGAGCCCCACAGGGTCCAGCTCGGCTTCAGTGTGACTGAATTCTGAAAAAGTAACAGTAACTGGCTCCAGGCCCCCTCTCTTCAAGCCCTACCCTCTTGCAATATTTCCAACTCTGTTTTCTCACATTTCATCTTAACTGTCATCTTCTCTTTCTCTTCAATGTCCTTCCTTAGTTTTATTTGAGTAGGAGGACACCTCCCCATAATCTCAGGAAACAGTATGTAGACTGAAAAAAAAAAAAAGCATACAACTTAAAAGTTGTAAACTGTGGTGTTTTTTTTTTTTTTTGCAGGGGGGTGGGATTTACTGAGGATACAACCAGGGAAACAGCCTCTCATAGTCTGAGGGATTGCTCCAGAGAGCCAAGGGGAGTCAGGATGTATAGAAGTTTTTACTGAAAAAAATCACATGTAGTCACATGT